ATATTTAAAAAGGGATGAAAGGAGGTACCATCTTCATTCCCTTTTATAAAGTACACATGCATATTAAGAGTCAAACTATACAAACTTTGACCAATAATTTGGCTAACAATTTTTAACTATTATAATATAAAAGTTGATATGATGATTAGATTGGTAAGCAATTGTACTAATCACAAATTTATAAACATAAACAATATATTATAAAATAAATGAATGATGAAAGTATAATTTAAAAGACCAAGTCATTCCAGCCCATGTCTTATAAAACAGAACTAAGGGACAGCTAAATGCCTAGGGCTTATGTGGCTAGATTCGTTTCTACCTCAATCCACGTATATTGAAATGGATTAATGGATTAGAGTGAAACTTAAACTAATCTTTACTCCAATATGAAATGATCAAGATGCCCAAGAGGGGGGGGGGGGCGAATTGGGCTAATTCTAAATTCTTTGCAATAATTAAGTCCTACACTTAGCCCACTTCACCCCTTGTGCCTCGAATGTGATTCTATTGATCTACCGCACAAAAGTTTAGCACCCTAAGTTCCAATCCTACTTTAGCATGGCAATTATAGGAATGTAAAGATAAGAAATGAATTGCTCGAATGTAAATGCTTAAAGTAAAGAGAGGGAAAGGAATGCAGCGATGTTTTGCCGAGGTATCGGAGAGTCGTTACTCCCCACTAGTCCTCGTTGGAGCACCCGTACAATGGTGTAGATCCCCCTTGATCCGCGCAAGGATCAAGAGCTCTCTATGGGCTGATTCTTCGACACTTCATCACGGTGAATCACCCACAACCGCTCACAACTTGAGTTGGGTCATCCACAAGCTCCGTCGGATGATCACCAAACTCTCAATCACCATCGAGCCGTCTAGGTGATGACGATCACCAAGAGTAACAAGCACAAACTCTCACTTGACCACAACAAGCCTAATGAGAAGGGTGGATACACACTTGCTACTCTTTTTGCACTAATGAGGCCTTAATCTTGGATTTTCAAATCTCAATCACCTCACTAGGCTCTTGCTCTCTTTTGCACTCTCAAAGGTGTTTCTCAGCTGAACAAATGGGCAAGAGACCTCCCTTGGACGAGTGGAGTAAGTATTTATACCCCCTCATTCAAAACATAACGTTTGAAGACTGAGTTATCACTCTGCGGGGTGACCGGATGCTCCGGTCAGTGTGACCGGACGCTCCGGTCAGTTATCCCCGCCACTGTGTCAGAAAGAGTCGTGAAGTTCTGACCTACGTCTGATCAAGAAAAAACGCTCTCTGAAACCTTACTGATGTTGACCGGACGCTAGCACCCAGAGTCCGGTCACTTCGCTGTTCAGCGTCCGGTCAGTTACCGTATCCTGACCAGTGTCCGGTCAGCACTAACCGGACGCGTCCGATCAGGAAACTCCCTCTCTGGAACCTCTCTGGAGTAGACCGGACGCAGGCACCTGTGTCCGGTCACTTTTCACTCAGCGTCCGGTTACAACCAGACGACTTCAGTTGATCAAATGAACTGACCGGACTCACCCTCCAGCGTCCGGTCAGTCATTTGATCCTCCATTCACTTCCAACTCGAAATCCCATGTGAATAAAGTTTACTCCAATTGATCTTAGGGCTACTCCTGAGCTACCTAGTGCCAGATTTGACAAGTGGGCACCACACCTAACCCACTAGACTCACCTAAGTCAAGTTACTAGTCCATACCCCCCTTAATAGTATGGCCAAAGGAAAAACAAAGTTCTAAACTATTCTAAGTGTCTCTTCAACACCAAACGACACTTAAAACTAGTTCATCCTTAACCTTGTCATCCATCCTTTGAAAACCGAAACGATTTCCATCGATAGGGGCATGACAACCATGATTGCCCAATCAATTGCCATTACCATGATCTAACTCAAATTGCCTCTGCAAAACACACGTTAGTCATAGTAATCTCGTGTTGTCATTAATCACCGAAACCCAATTAGGGGCCTAGATGCTTTCACAATCCACCACACGTGAATTGAGGTTGATATGAGTGCATCCAAATAAAGCCTTAGGCCTTTGTTTGGATGCTTATGTATTCACCTCAATCCATGTGTGTTAGGGTAGATTAGTGTGAAAGTTAGTTCATTGTAGCTAGTGTTTGACTAATAATTCACAAACAACAACAATAAATACTAGTACCGAAGGGGGCCTAATAATTCTATTCTAGCTAGTGCTTTGCAATCCTTTGGTGATCAACAACCTACACAAATCTAGTATCAAAGTAGCCTATGCTAGGGGGGCTAATATTAAAGAGCTAGCTAGTGAAGGAAAACAATATCATATGAGACACAAAATTTTACCCCATAATTCGGTGATTTATCGGCCACCTATATATCCACATTGAGGTGAGTCCAAGGATCACTCCTTCTCTATCAACCCCACAAGGTTGCCCCCTCCACTTAAGTGGTTGGTCTCTCAATCGGCTCAACATCTCGTTTCCACTGGAGTGATTCTTTTGCCTCTCCGGTGGGGTAGTGTAACGACCCGGTTGTGACTAGAGCATTTTCATTAGCATCATAAGCATCATCAGTAATTAAAATTCAGTTTCAAAACTTGCGTGTATGTTTCCATTAACCTCTCTCATACATCACGATCCTCAAAACAAGAAGATACTGCATCTGTTTTTACTCACTGTTATATGCCAAAACCATTTGCACCGTATCAGTTACCATGTGTACTTTGCAATACATCCGACTTTAAAAATAACTATTAGTATCTTGATGATTCATTTTGCGTATGTGTCTTGCGTTCTGGACCAAATATCTTGCCATAAGCTATTTTTCTACTCATTTAGAGGTAAGCTTCTAAGAATGGCCTTGGAATGCTAAAATTCTACTACTAGAATCAAGTCACTTCCAATGAAAAGTACATAAAACGGAAGAAAAAAAAATTGCCGACCTTAAATCTAAGGCCTTGTTTAGTTCATGTGTGAAAAGTTTTTTTTATGTCACATCGGATGTTTCATGGGATGTTGAAAGGGGTGTTCGGATACTAATAAAAAACTAATTACATAACTCGCCTGAAAATCACGAGACGAATTTATTAAGCCTAATTAATTCGTCATTAGCACATGTGTGTTATTGTAGCAATTATGGCTAATCATGAGCTAATTAGGCTTAAAAAATTTTGTCTCGCGATTTCCATACAAACTGTGCAATTAGTTTTTTTATCTACATTTAATGTTTATGCATGTGTCAAATATTCGATGGGACTTGGTAAAAAGTTTTTGGGTGGGAACTAAATGCGGCCTAAGTCTAAATAGCCACTCGAAATGCTCAAATCTTTCATATACTGACACGTGGCTGATGAAAACAAAATAAAACACTACCGGCAGCTGCAGTCCTAGTAGCCATTCGATGGGGACACGTGGCTCTATCCCAGCCGCAGGAGGCTCCCACAAACCACCGATCACCGATTGGTGCTTGGAAATTTCGCTGCCCCCGCTCTGCCCTCGCAAACCCCCGCAGTCCCGCACCGCCGCGGCCAGAGCGAGCCGGCCACCCCTCCCTCCCTAGCTCCCCGCTCCCTCCATTCACCACCCCGAACGCATGAACCTGGTGATGATTACAGTCTACATTCCTAGCCCGCCGCCGCCTACTATAACTAGGCCTCCTCCCGTTTCCCCGCGGCTGCAGATACACCGCCCTCAAGAAGTAGCAGCAGCAGCGAGGGTGAGGCGGGACTGGGAGGCGGGCGGCGCGGCGCGCAGGGAGGGACCCGTCGCGGAGCTCGAAGAAGCCGCAGGATTTCACCGCGGAGCTACATTGTGCGGGGGGTTCGAGGTGCGTTCTTCCTCTCCGCAGAATTCCGGGGAATTCTTTGCCTCTTTGGCTTGATTCTGCTGTTCCGTTCCGGAGTTTTCGGAGGCGTTGCTGGGAAATTTCTCTGGTTCGTGCGGAATCCGATCGGATTGTCTCTATGGGATGGGAATTTCGGTGGCGGGACGAGCGTTTGTGGATTCCGTGGTTCTGCTTCGACTGCTAATTCCGTTTCTTGCGGCCTTGTTTCAGCGATCAAGCCATCGGCATTCGCTGCGCAACCTGCGCGTCTCGCCTGTTTGGCAATCTCTGCTCTTGGGGACACGAACAAAGGACTCGAAAGATTCCAGGTACAGAGTACAGACCCGAGCTGCCCTCGACTCGCAGAACTGCAATCGGTAGAGGAACTCGATTGTTAGTCTCCGGTTGCTTCGCGTCTCGCAATTACCGTCTCACTATGCTGTTATTACTCTCCGATGATTCCTTGCTGTATCTTGAAATGAGTTCTGATACGAAATCTTCGTGAAACACTTCACAAGTTTGCTGTAAACTTAGTTGCATACTCACTGTCTTTCCCAAGTGACTACTACATTGTAATGATTCTCATCATGTGGCTCTGCGTGAATTGGTGATTTGTTTCCTTCAAAAAAAAAATTGGTGATTTGTTTTTGTGGTTCTTGGTAGGTGTTGACATTGATAAAAATTCAGGGATTTCGTGCAGAATTTGATTAAGTGGTATCTCTGGGGTGGTGATGAGTCTTCTTGGTATTATTTGTTCTGCCTAGGCATTTATCTTTTTCTTGTTATATGTTTCAGTGTCAAGCCCTGGCTGCACTCTGCATCCTGATTGTGCACATTCTTTTGGCTTTCTCTTCTCATGGATACCGATGAACCAAGTACTCCAGGTACAAATCTGATTCTCAGTTCGCAGTTCACTGCAATTATTTAAATCAGGTCATTGCCTTTCCCTTAATATATGATCAAATGACTATGTGTTTGTGGAAATGCTTAAAAGCAGCAGCAGGCAATTAATTGATTCTGTAGCATCAAATTATGTTCTTGCCTTCTTGGTCCCTGATATCTTCAATTCATCTATGAACTTGCATAGATGATTCAGAAACTGTTGGCAAGTCTGTTACATGATTGCTTTATCTAGCTACTACATATCGCTGTGTTCTTAGTCCCTGATACCTTGCAGTAAATTCTGATTTCACAATGCCCATGGCCATTTCACAGATTGTTGCAAGTAGTTACTTATGGAAGTTTTTGTCTTCCTTGAACAATTCTGACTCAGTGCTTGCACAAATGATCCAAAGAAGCAATAATTAGGAAAATGCTCTGGTTCATCTTTAAATTTCTTAGTGCTACATTGCATGATTCATCCAGTAGCTGTATGTCAAGTAATCTTGTCTTTCTATTTACTATATTATCTGATCAAATGCTTCAAAGAAGCAAGCACCGGTGAATAGTGTGCTTATGTTATTATCTTATTGTTCTGTTTCTTACTCATTTCTGCTATGCATTGATTCAGATATGCCATCCAGAAGGCCTCATAAGCACTGGTGTAAAGTATGCAACAAGAAATTCCTTTCAGGGAAAGCTCTTGGAGGCCACATGTCCTGCCACCGGCATGCTGGCAAGCAGCCAAAGAGCACAGCTAGCCCTCCTGCCATTGTCGTCGATCTGCCTGTGCTGCTGCTGGGTCCCAGTGATGAGAAGCCTTCACCGTCATCTTTGGAATCTCAATGCCTGCGCTGCTCAAAGGTGTTCTCTTCTTGCCAATCTCCTAGGGGGAACATGGGGATGCACAGTGAGAAGAAGCTGATGGCCAAGCCTGATGAAGAACCTGGACCAGCTGGGTTGATGGAAGCTTGGGCCAATGCTAATGGTGATCACGGGCACAATGTGATGCTATTTTCTCCAGTGAAGCGTAAGCGATCAAAGAGGGGGATGCCAGTCCTCAATTCAGAGATGAACGCTGCAGCTGCTCTCTTGATGCTTGCAGAGCATTCCGACAAGACTTCTGCTGATGAGGATTGCTGTGGGGGAGATAAGGATGACAACATTTCAACACCCATGGTGTTGAAGGAGGTAAATCTGAATGCTTTTGAGCAGCTGGATCAATCTGATGAGTTCACAAACAGTGCGAGGCTGAAATCTGACAAGAATCCAGCTTATGAGGGTTTCTATGAACACTGTGAGAAGGAAAACAGTTTGAATTTGCCTGCTGATGCTCCCAAGAAGGAAGTGCTGCTGAATGTGTTTGATTATAAGATGGATGTAGAAGCTGAGTTCATGAAGCCAGGAGCTGACATTTCAGTCGAGGAATTGAAGTCCAGTTTGAATTTGGTTGCTGATGCTCCCAAGAAGGAAGTGCTGTTGAATGTGTTTGATCATGGGATGGATGTAGATGCTGAGTTCATGATGCCAGGGGCTGACATTTCAGTTGAGGAGTTGAAGTCCAGTGACCTTTCAGCTGCAATGAACATGAAGAGGCACCAGTGCAAGGTCTGTGGAAAGTCATTGAGGTCAGGACAGGCATTGGGAGGCCACATGACATTACACTTACACTTTGAGAAGAAGAATAAGTTGAATTCGGTTGCTGATGTTCCAAAGGAGGTTCTTCTGAATGCATTTGATCATGAGGTTGATGCAGATATAGAGTTCATGACGCCAGGGGCTGCAATTTCAGTGGAGTTGGAATCAAGTGACATTTCAGCTGCAGTGAACGTCAAGAAACACCAGTGCAAGGTCTGTGGAAAGTTACTAGGGTCAGGGCGTGCTTTAGGAGGACACATGAGGTTACACTATGTTCGGAAGTGCAATCTTCACCAAGAGGTTGCTGATTGTCCTTATTCTGTTATGATGGAAGAGCAAATGCAGAAGCTTGAATTGGACTCTCCCATTTTTTATCGACGGAGACCACATTCACATGGTAGAAAATCTGATTCTGAGCCATAATGTGTGCTGTGTGGGCCTGTGGCCAAAGCTGGTTCCACATGTTGTCCAAAACAGATACCTATTCAGTTACCGATAGGTTCATTAGTAGTTAGGAAACTAAAGAATTCCATTTGCTGTAGATAGTAGAGATTTTGATACTGATACTTTCTTCTCTTGATCAACAAATTTTGCTGGATAGGAAGGCAAGGATCTTAAGTCACTGCCCGGTTGCGAAACAGTGTAGCAGGTAATGCGTGGTAGCATGCAGTGTAATGCAATGCAATGCATGATCTTGTGATAGGTCTGAAGCTCCCTGACAGTTGTCCTTGGCTGTACATTGATATTCTTCTGTACATACCTATACAGAGCATATTCTTGTCTTGAAATAATACTTCAATAAAGAGATCTGGATGACAATTTGTACAATCTAGCTGTGTTTTATCCGTTTGCCTTTTGGACTAGGCAACATTCAGTGCTTTTTGAGCGTTATGCTTGTGCTAGTCTCTTCCATTCTGGTGGTTCCACACTCTGCTTGTGAGTTGTTCACTTGTTCTTGGCTCCCCCTTCATGCTGTTCATGTCGCCCGCCTGGGTGTGACTACAGAAAATTGAATCTGACGATCCTTACGTATGGAGTGTGGTGTGCGACGAGCAGCCTTCAGCATGTACTGTAAAACTGGTTCCGGGTGTATCCTGGCAGTCTTGAGACTGAGAGGTACAGTTGATTCAGTTCATCAGTTATAGTATGCAGTATGTTAATCAGCTAGAAGCCCAAAAGGTAATTACTCCAAAAGAATAACATTTATATGGATATTAGCAGCTAAACGTTTTGATAATTAATGTTGACAATTTTGGCCAACAAAGTATTTTGGACATGGAAGGCCAGTGTCAAAATTCACTGCTGGGGATAGTGTAGGCAGCCATCAACTCTCAGTTCCTTGTAAATACTTATTTTGCTTTCAACTTAATGAAACGGCAGAGCACCTGCCTAATTTGCTCCAAAAAAAAAGTCAGCTCCTGGCTGCAGAATAGTGCCCGCAGTTCTGCTCAGTTCCACACATACCACAGGCTCATTTTGGAACATTCTTGCTCTTATGCTGCTGGCACATCTAGAAACGCATTGAACAACACGGTCTTCCGGGATGATCGGACTACACTGGCAAGCGCTTTGGCAGCGTGCAAGAGAGAGGCAAACCTGTGGCGAGTCTGTCTACCGAGAAAAGATAGGCAAACAACAGATGCTTGGTGCTCTATCCTTACTGCCGCAATGTAAACCTGAACTAGTCTTATCTTTAAACCGTGTACTACTATGTATTTGAAACATCTGGCCTAGAGGGTCACTAAAATCAATATAATCTCAGGTGGGGATCCTCCCCCCCCCCCCCCCCCTCCCACCGACTTAAAAAAAAAGTTCTGCTAAGTTGCATTCACTCGTTTTAGTACTAGCGCTCGGAGGCTCTGAACAAACTTTTCTGTAAATACTACTATACAGAGCATACATATATCGAATGGCCTTGTGCAACCTTCCTTCGCTATCCTGTTCAGTCTGTTTCGTTGCCGTGGTAGCATGGCAGATGACACGGCTTTTCAGTAGTGTTTAGTGCAGCTGCTGTTTTCATTTCGCTGAATGTGGATGTGGGCTGGCATCCACCAGTACATACGACTATACGAGTTGATTATTCTCAAAAAAAAAAAAACTATACGAGTTGATTACAGATGGTGGCCCACATGATGCTTCCTTTTTTCAGTTCATTCATCCCAGCTCAGGGGGTTTAAGTAAACCTATAAACTCTCGAGTAAAGCAAAAGTGCAATAGGAATCGAGAAAACAGTTGTGATTTTAGAGGAGTGTTTGCTATAAGAGACTGAGAATTTTTTTTAATGAAACTGGAGGGGTTTGCACCCCTACAACATAAATTTTTTTTTTAAAAAGGAAGAGGTTCAGTTTACAAGAACAGGAAAAAAAAAGGAAAACTAGAGTACAATGGGGAGGGAGGCAGACTATGAAACAAAGAGACATTAAAGAGCAGCACAAGCACTGCTAGCAACCAAGCTAAATAAGATTTGCAATCCATTGATATATTCTTGGGAGTAGCTTCTTTTTGGCCTTAAAGGTAAGAGCTGAAATTCATTTTTGAAATTTTGCTTGGCCATGGGAATGCTTGGATTTACTTGGCAGAAGATTAAGTCATTTCTTGCTTTCCAGATAGTCCAACACATCAGAATAATGATCTCCATGAAGAATGGCACTCCTAGCTGATTTTTGAAACTTTGCAAGTTCTGAAAGTGATCTGAATGTTGGTTAATCTGGATATTAATCATTCCCCAACACTGGATGGCAAAGGGACATTCCAAGAAGAGATGTGACAAAGAGACTGAGAAAATTCATCCCTTTGTGTAAGTCGGACCCACCTGTCAATGCGTAAAAACCTCCTTTTTCTCCTCCCGTTCGGCCTCTGGCACAGCCAACGTAGCAGGCAGCGCAGCGACCGGTATGCTGTCTCAGTGTATAGTGCACTTGCACGTCACAACTACTTCCTCCGATGTAGCTGCCCGTTGCACAAGCGAGAAGGAAGAGGGATGAGTTGCTCCCCCCTTGATTCTTTTCTCAACTGAGAAAAAAAAATATTTGAGAAAAAAGAGTGGAGTAATAGGCGGTACGAGACTTTATCCAATCAAAACCTAGATAAATAATAACTGTACTCCTTTCATGCACACATGCTTCCACCATTTCAATCCGAATATATACAGCATGTTCGGTTGGCTGGTTCGTATCGTTACTGGTTTATTTATGTGAGAGAGGTGTACTACTGGCTGGTTCAGGTGAACAATACTCATGTGAGGGGGCTGGCCTAGCCCAACCAGCCCCAGCCAGCCCAGCGATCATGCTGATAACCCCATCTGCAATACAAAATGTCCACATACACAAAAAAAAAGCCCTCTATTTCGGCTATTATATCCATGTAGCCACAAAAATCAGAGGGAAAATAGCATAATGGTGTTAACTAAAGTTTCACCAAATGTACACGAAATATACAAAATCCACGGAAAATATGTGAGGGGTGAGGGAGTTTACCAGCTCCGTAGACCGTAGGTCGACCGGATTCCAGATTCGGTTTCGAATTTCACGGCCTCATATCATCGATCAGGATGTGGATTCAAGTTTCAAGGAGAGGAGTGGCAATTCATGTTCTATTCAAAGTTTCGAACCTAACAAAGGAGAAGGCTGGGGTGGTCGGGCTGCACATGCCTAGGCACGGTCCCATGCCTCTTGATGCCAAAGGTCCGAGCCACTTTTTCGCCGCTCACAATAATCAGCTGGAATAGTATTTTGGCTTATTTTCATCACAGTGATTTCAGCCGTGATGTTTTCCCCTCACAATAATCAGCCAAAACAGTATTTTGGTTTATTTTTCAGTCCTGCCGAACAGCCCCTGTGTTTGATATGGTTGTCATATTTTTTTTCGATAAAGGAAGTTTTTATTAAAACCTCAGAAGCAATATATCAAGTTGATACAAAGCTAAAGAGGGCAACTTCCAGCGATCTGCCTAACATAAGGCACACAACCAAAGAAAGAGAAAATACCTGGCATAATCTAGTGACTATCAATTCGTAAACTAGACCGCCACCCATGTGTCCGGGAGAAAAAAAATCCTTGGCCACTTGAGTCAACTGTTGTGATACTGCTACAACTATATCCTGCAAATCCGACTTCTACAGGATAACCCAAGTACGTAGCCAGCGGATAACCAAATAGATAACCTGCATAGGAGAAATAATTTTTTTTTCAAAAACAATATCATTCCTACTGAGCCAAATAGACCAACAAGTCACAGCTCCTCCTAGCAGGAGTAAAAGCTTGACATCTTTGTTGACACCTCTTAGCCACATATGGAAGGTTGTATTGTATATTTGTATGGGTGGACGCAAATTGAGTGAAATCGTATTTTAGAAAAGAAGGTGTTTGGTGAGATTGTACGATCGGATGTGAAAAACTGAGATGTTGTTTGTTTGCCTGCATAAGTGAATACAACTTGTCTAACATGTGAGACTGAATGTGTGGGCCTATCCTCTACAACTTGCATCTTTCGGGCTTGGCTCTGCATTTAAGCTCATTTTGGCCATCTCCACCAGGGCAGGATGAAAGCATCTTCAGCAGTTCCCCAATACCTCCCCCTATCCCCATAAAATTATCATATTGGGGACAACTATGTTTTTTTTTTGCTCTAACAGTTCTCCAATAACTCTTCCTTTTTTTTGGTGGACACCAATATTTCCCTCATCTCCCCTTAAAAAAATGGAGATACAACCCTCTCAATACCATGAGGACCATCCCAACTATCACTTTTTAGCCATATTTTCTCTTACACTTCTGTGGGACTCACCTTTCATATGAGTATTGGAGGAGATATATTAGGGTACTGCTGTAGCATCTCCCCCAATAAAATCTAGAAAGTGATATTAGGCTACCCCAATACCATCTTATTAGGAGACTGCTGGAGATGCTCTGAGACCATATACCTGCATGAGTGAAGTCAAGTTAGAACAATAGAGCAATGTGGTCAAACGAACTTTTGTTTCTACGGTTAAGATAAGGCATGATAGAATGGAAATATGTAACCGAACACATTTAGAGCGTGTTTGGTTCGGCTCCCGATGGCTCTAGCTCCGCCTGGCGTTGTGTATTCCTATGTTATACTGTGCTCCACTATTTTGGCTATTGTAGTGGTTCCAACTCCGGTAGACACCAGAGAGGAGCCGGAGGAGCCAGCGTTGAGAGGCTCCGGCGGCTCCGCCACAATAGCTACACAATGCTACTATAGTGCCAGAGCGGGAGCCAACTAGAAACCCCTCCAAACACACCCTTAGTAGCCTGACATGGCGCTGTGCCACGCTCTAAGTCCAAAGACTATACTGTGCCCTATATCTATGGCGCTACGTGTGTTTTCCTGAAATGTTTCTTCTTAGAAATTCAAATATAAATTTCTTTTAAAAAGAACCAAATTATAAAATAATGTCTTTTATATGAAAACATTTTCATTCACCATATTTTCAATTTGACTATTCATGTTAACATTAATATGGTGCCAACAGAAATGAGAAAAATCGGATATTCCATTTGGGGTTTCAGGCCTCTTCGCCCTCGCAAGTCGCAAACCTCTCCCCCTCGCAGTTAGCACCACCTTGGCACGTGCTCTCTCTCCGCCTCGCAAACCCCCCGCACCGGCACCGCCGCGGCATGAGGAGTCTCTGCCTTCCCCTTCCCACGCGTGAGCCGCGGCCCGCGGCGTGAACCTGGTGAACTGGGCCATTCCCCATTCCCCGCACGCATACGCGGCGACCCCACGCCCACCATCAAGAAGTAGCTGCAAGAAGAAGCCGGGGCGGGAGAGGCGGGCGCGCGCGGCGGACCCGTCGCCAAGCTCCAAGAAACCACCGGATTGCGCCGCGGAGCTCGATTCGGCGGGCGTCGAGGTGGGTTTATCCGCGAGCAGCCGAGGATTCTTGGCTTGATTCTGCGGTTCCGCTCGTGGCTCGGGGTGTTAAAGGTTCTTGGCCTCTCTTGGGAGTTTTGGTTTTGGTTTAGTGAATTGGGAATTTTTGGTGACGGGTTTTGTGGTTTGCAGGTTCCGCTTCGAGTTTCAACAACTAAATCCTGCTTTTTGCATTCTTGATACAGCGATCAACCCCTCGCTCGCTGCGAATCGTCGTCGTTCCGCATCCATCTCTTCTCACGCGGACCGGGAACCAAGGATCCCAGAGTTTCCAGGTATAAATCCAACTCTAAGTTCTCAGAACTGCAACCGTTAGAGCAAGTCGGCTGGTTCTTTACTGGTTGCTTCGAGTCTTCGACTAGCAAATTAGCATCTCGCTGCTGTATGAATCCTGTCTTTGCGGCTCCTGTATCTGCTGGTGGTATTCAAACTTCTGAGATTTCGTGTACAATTTGATAGAGTGGTCAGGTCGAAAATTCACGTGATGAAGTGTTCTTGTAGTTATTGTTTTTTTTTTTTCATACTCAGCAATGTAGTTATTGTTTCTGCTTAGGCCACAAATCTGTTTAATTTCTCAACCTACAGGTACAAAAATCTGAAGCCTGGTTCACATGTCCACCAATCATTACAGCAAATCATCACCTTTTCCCTTAATTATCTGATCAGATGCATTCTGTGTGTTTACATTTGCATAAATTCTTCAAAGCAACTGCAGTTTTTTTTTTGTTTTCTATAGTTAACAGCAGTTCGTTCAAAGAAGCTAATTGTGTTCTTGGTCCCTGATACTTCCATTCCATCTATGCACTTGCTCAGGCCCAAACCTGTCCATGCAAGGTTTGCAGCCGCAAAGGCCCAGCCCAACATGGGGCCGCAAAGTTCTGATCTGTATACTAATAATCATTATACAGTAGCGAACCAATCTAGCATCCAGTCAAATTCTTTTCCAGTGAAACCATGAGAGCACAAACTTTCTCCTCCCTCCGTCTCTCTTTCCATTTTACCTCCTACAGACCAGCCATCTTGTTTGCATACATGAAAAACGTGAAAAAGGATTACTGATTCTCCTCCCTCCATAGATCTGCTATTGCACCCAAAAACATTCCTCTTGGCGACTTCTATTTGCTTTACTGTGTGTGTACTCAAGCATATTGATACTTTTCAGTCTCTCGTCGTGTGTCTTTTTCTTCCACGGACAATCAGTTTTTGTTGATCATTGGGTTCAAATTTTCGCTGCTAGATCTTTGAAGCTGGTTCTTACTGGCTTGCTGCTGGATTAGCACACCACATAAAATCATTTTGTGTAATTGCTTTTTATACCTGCTGCCGCCGGCCTAACATGTCTAGAACTAATGAGTTACCATTCTTGCTATTTTTTTCGAGAACATGCGCCAGGGCGCAAGCTTTTCATTAAGAGGACAACCATTCTTGCTATTTGTGTTCTTTCATACATATTGCTGTATGTGGAAGCTCGACGACATAAAATTCTGGTTGTAAAGAGCGTAAAAAAAGAAGCATAAGAGTTAACTCAGTCTCAGGAAAGAAGCTCTATATAGGATAGTTATACAACCATGAGTTTTTCTTTTCGCAAAAAAAAAAGAACCATGAGTTTTTCCTCGAAACCTGAGTATTGATGCTAATGTTGATGAGGCTTATGACAATAAACATGGAAATGATACTATATCCCGCGTTTACTTAACCATTTGTTGTAAAATCATTGCACTAAGTGAAATATTTTAATTTTGAAAAAATAATTCTAGGGCCCTTTTACAATTTAGCACAGGGTCTCTGGATTTGGCAGCAGCCCTGACTTGCTCAGATGCTTTTTGATGCAGTTCTTCCAAAGATGATACACACTGTTCTTTGCTTATGCTACTTTAACACCTGGATTTTCTAGTTCCAGTATAGCAATATTGGAGAATGCCGCGGATCAAGGTGCGGACTGTAAATGATGATACACTCAATCTGGATAGTTGCTGGTTGCCAATGCTGTATTCTACACAGCCACTAAATCTGCTAATCCCATCCAAAGAAGCCATGGATGCTCTAATCCATTATGCTAAGGAAAGGGAGAAGATCACTGGAAAATGGGCAACCATCAAGACCATGCATAGGGAGCTGAACATAGCGACAGTTGAGGCGTGTTGCACTGGTGCTGGTGTCCCTGTCGGCGTCACAACTGATGCTCTAACAGCGGCTCTAGATCGTGACTTCGTCCGAGACTGGGATCCTGTCTTGCTTGAACAGATTGGATGGGTATGAAACAACATGACATGCAGCTTTGTATTGTGGGTGGGATCGTTTGGGTGTGTTTCGTTTTTCAATCTCAATATTACACTGCATATGGAGTTCATAACTAATTGCTCCTTTCTGCTGGCAGCCAGCAGGTTCCAGATGCGCAGTCTTGCGGCTGCTTGCTACGAGAAGTTCCGCAGTGATGGAATGCCAGAGCAGGAGGCCAGGAGGAGACTTGCCTACTTCGTCTAGTATGTTGTAGTTTTGTAGATGAGTAGATCACAATATCTGGCCACATGTCTGCAGGAATTCCCTGCCTGCTCTTCCTTTTATTTGCCATTGCCACTGGAGATTTTGTAGTTGTAGCTTTCATAGAAAAGTCAAGTCTAGCCTGTTTTGATGCTACTGCAATCTTCATGTACCCACTATATATGTGTGGTACTTTAATCTTGATGACCTGGCTGCAGTTTTGGTGACTTTCTGTTTCCATGTGTGCAACCACTAGCACCAGTACCATAAGAACAAATGGCATCTGGTCATTTTTGTTTTGTCAATATGGCACGATATATGTGTTGCTTCTTAAGACGTTCCTGTCCCAGGTCAGTTTGTACTTTCATCTTGGCTTTTGTTTCGGCCCAGCCACAGTTGTAACTGCTTCAGGATCCATGCCATCTTAATTTCCTGAACCAACTAGTACTGCGCGCTTTGAACACAATGCAAGAGATTTGTCTTGCCTACTGGTTACCTGTTTATGCCACAGCTCATATGTTGAAAGAACTATAGTTTTGGAAAGTTATTGTTCCTCTACTTGCCTTTTTTTTTTGTTTTATAGTCAAGTGAGAAGACCTGACACATGCTGTGTAGACATGTAGAAGCGGTTGAATGGATAAAATACCAGGTCTGCTGTATACACAGCGGTCCTTTGACATATATCCTAAATTTTGTTTAACTATATAAATTGGTGGGTTCCATTTCTTGGCATGATTCTCGGTTCAGAAATTCATTTACGCAATCATATGATCTTCAGTTCAGACAATCGTTCCACTTGTTTGCCATTAGTGTTGATTTTGTGACGAAATGCCTGCTCCAATTTTGTAACTGCTAGTTTACAATTACCTCATGCATCGTTTTACTTGTTCACCTGTGAATTCAGCTGCCTAGGTTTTAGGTGGGGTTTGGGTCCACAAACTCTACTCCACAAACTCAATTATGGATCAGCTCCATAAAAAACTAGAGTTTGTGGAGTACTTCTTTAGATGCTCTCACAACTTCACCATTTTTCACGAACATAGTGTGTGGAGCTGAAACCGTTTGGCTAAAAAATGCGGAGCGGAGCAGTCCCAAACACCCTCTTAGAGCATCTCCAATAACCTTTCTAAATCTCACTCTCTAAATCATCATTTGGAGAGTCATTTGCATAAAAATCGTTTTCTATATCTTTTTCACTCTCTAACAGTTTTTCTATATCTCATGCGTACTCTACAGAGCCATTTTCATCTTTTATTTTTGACTAGCGAAACATCCGGAATAGAAGATAGCTATATTTGAATAATCATATCAAATCATATTTTTTCGAAATTAAATTTTTTAAATAATCTTTATTCTTAAAATCTAGGGAGAACGCAGATCTCTGGAACTTTCTGTTAGTTTGTCCAAATTTTGACATTTGCAAAGCTCCTTACCGATGCTAAAAAAATTAATAACTATTTGAGCGTCAACAGGATTTTTTCGTCTTTTCAACAGGGACCCATATAAAATACCATGTGTTTGGACCGTGTCAAACGTAGATCTTGACGTATTTATACGTGAGAGTTAATTAAAATTGTAACGGCATATATATCCCAAAACAGATAAATTGACCAATTAATTAATAATAATAATAATATCACGGTTCCGATTAACCCAAAACACCGCCGCCTCCCTTTTGGCCCTTTACCCTTTCCTCTTCCCCGGATCCCATCCCCCATAAGGCAGCCGCTGCGGCGCTACCAATCTCCCATAGGCTAGCCCTAATCGATCGAATTCCTCCAGTCCGATCCTGCCATGACGCCGCCGCTGCGGGATCCGTGGTTCATCCTGGCCGGGATCCCTAAAGTTGTGAAGGACAAGGAGGCGAAGCGCACCTTCCCGCCGGGCGCCGACGTCTCCGTCGCCTACGACGAGCCCCCGCGCGCCTCCGTCCTCACCATGCCTCACCGCGTCTCCTCCCCGCCCTCCCTCTGCAGCTACCCTTACGTCGCCGCCTCGGACTCCTCCGGCCTCATTCTCCTCTGCGCCACGGAGCCTGAGGGCACCAACTCCTGGGTCACCTACCACCTCTGCGACGCGCGCACCGGGCAGGATACCTGCTTCCGCGAGCACAATCGCACCGTGGGCATTCACGGCAACAACTTAGGCCTCATGGTGAGGGGCGGCAGCTGCGTTGTCGCCGAGCTCCAGCCCGCCGGCGACGGCACTGGTGGCGCTTTGCTCCTCTCCTACACGGTGGGGCAGTACAGGTGGGTCGAGAAGGAGCTCACCTACTCGCCCCCGCTGCACCGGGAATGGATTGGCGAGGGCGTCATCTCCCACGGCGGGATGCTCTGGTGGGTGGACCTCTCGTACGGCCTCCTCTCCTGCGACCCCTTCGATGACAAGCCGGAGCTGCACCACGTCCCGCTTCCATCAGTCCTCGACCAGCTGCCGGTGCTTTCGGCAAACGGCGGCGCTCACCGCTGCGTGAGGGTGAGCGGCGGAAGGCTGAGGTTCGTGCAGATCCATGGCAGCCCCGACGCACCGGTGGTGAGCACGTGGGCACTCGTCGAGTCGTCAGGGAAATGGAATCCCGAGCGCCAGGTGGCCTTGGCCGACGTCTGGGCCGACGAGAGCTACCTGGACATCATGTTGCCAGGGAGCATCCCTGCCCTTGCGCTGCTCCACCCTGAAGACCCTGACAAGCTCTTCTTCTTCCTCGGTTCCTGCATCTTTGCCGTGGACCTGCGGCAGAGGAAGGTTGTGGAATTCAGTAACTTTGCAATGCCTGACTCGCCCAACGAGTTGCTCATGCGCTCATCCCACTTCGTCCATGCATGGCAGTACGATCCTTCAAGCACTCGTAAGCATCTTTCCTTGTTACCTTGTTGCTGATTTGATTCCACTTGTGCCTACACCAGATTTACTTTCCCCACAGTTCACATCTTGCATAGTTACGATATTGACTTCAAAATTGAAGATGGAAATTTCTAGACTTGTGCACAGACGCAGTCACAATCTTGATAAAAGGGCTAATGTTTAGTTTGAAGATGCACACCTTAGATATATATTGATATATCTACTATCGCACGCAAATTGCCAATATCTTCCATCCTGGTATTTCTAATCCCAATAGACTATGGACGTCCACCGCCTCCACATCACAAGCTCCTTTGACCTTGCTAGCAGCATTGACATTGAAAATACTTTGCTCAGCCCTCCTACAAAAAATTCAGAGGACATGAAACTGAAATCTTGCACAGCCACAATCTTGAGAGAGGGATACGACTCATATCAAAAGAGTTATTTGAAGATGTGCAGCTGAAACAAGCCAATTTCTAGATAGATAAACTATTATCATAGCTTGCGCAATGCTATCTTGCTTTTCAGTTCGTATTTGCATACGTTCCTGCCTGCTATTGTTTTACCTGGATATATTAATGAGGTCCCCTCTGCCTTCACAAGTCTTTTGGCCTTGCTACCAGCAATTGATAAGCACATTCAAAACTGATACTGACGGCATGTTTGGATCATAGTCTCCCGGGCACTGCCTAGCCAGGTAGTTGAACCTAGCGCCAGGTGTCCCAAGTCGGATATGTGGTGGCACTCTTCCCACATCACCATCCAAACACGGCCTGAGAGTGCCTGAACCTGATGGCTTCCCATGGTTTTCTGATAATTTTTGGTAGAGGGCACATGGCTTTCAATCTACTGATGTAAATGTGTTAATTGTATATTTTATGGACATACAAACACTGGGACAATGTGTGCATGCACCAAACATGTTCCCTTAACCTCATTCTTGCACTTTTCCTGTATTTTTCTATTTTGTATTGTTGCAGTTAATAGAACTATGTTAAAGCATCTTTTGTGGTTGCTGGAATTACTTTAGCTCTCTTGGGGAATTATTGATGTTTCTGTACTGCTTGGCATATATTTACTCTCCTGTGTAGGGTCGGAGTCTCTACTGAGATGCCTGAGGCAGGAGAAGGAGAGCAGGTGATCCCATTCTTGTGCGTACGCATAATAGTTTCGGTTTTTTTTCTTCGAAGGCCTAACTTTTTTTTTTTTTGGTTCAGTTTGGCTGCGACCATGCCCGTCTCGCGCAAAACTGGTACATACCATACGATCCATGCCGCAACACTATCCACCCGTTTTCCCCTTAGCTTAGCCTGAGAACTTATTTTCTCTTGTTTTTTTTTTCAGCTAAAATACTGAAGAGATTTCGGTATGATTCAATCAGGGAGCAACAGTTCCTTGTAACAATGCCACCCCCTCTACGAGTAGGCCATAGACATGGGCATGGGCAAGCTACATGATGGCCCCACATGATGCATCTGATGTACAGTGTTTTTAAAAATAATAAAAGAGATCTAAAGTTGGATACAAATGTTATTGTACTACTAGTATCGAGTACTTTAGTCTACAGCAGTGAACATTGCGTAAACTCTATGTGCCTTTTTGACCTTGTATTCAGCGGTTGGCTCAGCATATTTGAGTCAGCAGGTAGAAGTAAAAAAAAATCATGTATTTTTTTTTCCGTAGCGGTGTAGTAGCTCTTACTGGCTGATGCCCTGAGATGTGTCAGACAACTGCTTCTTGCCCAATCGCTGCGGCTGCTTCTGAAATTGACTGCTGCAGACATGTATGAAAACTGATAAGGCTGCTGAAAACTGTTTGTTTGCCTGGACGATGCTCACCCGCTCGTAGGAGGCGAGCCAGGTTACTAGGAGGCCGGCCTATGGGGTGTCAGATAGTGTTTATGTTTCATTTGGCCCAGAATAAAGGCTGGGTCTAGAAGTTGTTTGTTTGCCTGCAGGCCAACTACCATAACTACCTGGACGTCGGTTGAACCGGCCAGCTGCATAGGCATCCAGACAGAAATGCACAGAGAGTAGAGTAGAGTTAAGCAACACACAAAGCATTAGCTGCAGTTCTTAACAAAATTACACATGATGTTCAACTACCAGAATGACAAGTACATACCCACTAATTACAATTACATGATTCAGTGCTACTAATCTTCTTGCAAAGCACACAAATAATGATGACAAGCATCACAATCCAAATGGATTTCCATGAAATGCTGCTACAAGGAGGTAAAAGGAGGTGGTTTGCCCAAACAACATCATTAGTAGGGGTTGTTGCAAACTTTGAGTTGATTGCTAAGCTGAAATCTCTAATTGCTTCTCCATAATCAATGTATTTCTTATGGATAGCACCAGGGAAAGGCACTGACCTGCTCCTGGCACTCATGCCACATACCAAGCCATAATTCTGCAAATTTTTTGATTGTCTCGGTGATTTTCCATTAGTTAACCATGGTGGCTACAACTCGAGTATCACATCACAGGCTAGATAGAGGGGATAGAAAAGATTGCCTTAGTCATTATATAATGTATACGTCATTGGCAAAGAGGGAAAATTGTGGCCTCATATCATGAACAATTCTTAAGTAGTCATAATTGTTTGTCACGGTCATTGGTGGCACTAGAGTGTGGACACTAAAACAGGCGAAAGGAAGAACAGACGAAAGAACAATATAAACATAGGCATAAACAATACTCACTACTGGAAACAGAGCCTTTGCCGAGTGCAAACTGCTTTACCGAGTGTCAAAAATCGACTCTCGGCAAAAGCGCGGCACTCGGCATAGGCTGCCCCGCGTAACGGTGTTCGGCCACGTCCTTTTTTGCCGAGTGCCTGTTAGGCACTCGACAAAGTTTTTTTTTGGGAAATACTTTGCCAAGTGCCCATGACACGGCACTCGGCAAAGATTTAATTTTTTTTTTTGAAATGTCTTTGCCGAGTGTCCCAGATCTGGCACTCGGCAAAGTATTTTTTTTTTGGAAAATAAGTGCCCCTGACATGGCACTCGGTAAAGATTTAATTTTTTTTGAAATGTCTTTGCACTCGGCAAAGAGGAAATTTCTAAAAAAAAATAAAAAATCCTCTTTGCCTATGTGAAGTTTTCTGTTGACTGCAAATCAATCTGGAAATGGCCAAATGGAAAAAATGCATAAATTTGTTGATCCCATGTTGCTTATTTATAGAATATATATAATATGTGAAGTTTTCTCCTCTTTTTTTTTTAGCTAATCTACTGCCACCTTGTATGAACACAGCAGAGGAAGACGGCGCCGACTTAGCCGCCTGCTGTGTGTGAACACAGCAAGGGAAGGCGGCGCCGACTTTGCCTCTTGCTGTGATACAGTAGGCGCTGCAGGTGCAGGCGCCGCACGGCTCACCTGCAGCACTGTAGGAACAGGCAGTGGCCGGCGCAGAGTCAGCCCTGTCAGGTTATCTAGTTACTGTGCCAGCATGGACGCTGCACATGGACTAGATAGTTAGAGTTGTATAAATAGACATGTATGACAACTCAGTAAAGAGAGCTCAGATTTGCCATCACACAGACAGGGCCTCGGCCAACGTTGTTGTATTGTATTGTGCGTGCTTGCTCTGTTCTCCCTTCTTCTTCTAGCTCGATCCGTAGTGTGTGGGTACGGACACAACCGGTATAGTGGTCTGGGAAGACTAGTGGTCTGGTCTGGAAGACTAGTGGTCTATGAGACTAGTGGTCTGGTCTGGGAGACTAGTGGTCTGAGACTAGTGGTCTGCAGACTAGTTCACTATCGTCAGACGGTGATCCCGTGGGCCAACAAGTGGTATCAAAGCCGTACAAGCGCCGTCGTCATTCTAACCGATGGCGAGGACAAACGGTTTGGAGTTGGGCGATGACAGTGGCATTGTCATAGCTGCCCAGCCACTACCGGAGGTAGTTGTCCGCACGGTGCGGGAGGTCAGCGGCACCACTTGGCCGACGCTGACTCGCACTAACTATGGAGAGTGGTCGGTGACCATGAAGGTCAAGCTCAGAGTCCGACGGCTCTGGAATGCTGTTGACAAGGGCACCGACGTGGAAGAAGACGACATGTCAGCGTTGGAGGCTATCCTCGCTGCTGTACCGGCGGAGTATAGGGAACCGTTGGGGACGAAGAGCTCAGCTAAGGAGGCGTGGGAGGCCATTGCGGAGATGCGCGTCGGTTCTGACCGCGCAAAGAAGGCAACGGCCCAGCTTCTAAAGCAGGAGTATGCAAACCTCAAGTTCAAGGATGGTGAAACAGTGGAGGACTTTTCCCTCCGCCTGCAGATGCTCATCAGCAAGCTGAAGAGCCACGGCGTCACCATCGACGAAGAGGAGGCGGTCTCCAAATTCCTCCACTCCGTGCCGGCAAAGTACATCCAGATCGCTCTCTCCATAGAGACGATGCTGGACTTGTCCACCCTCACCATCGAGGATGTGGCAGGCCATCTGCGGACGGTGGACGAGCACCTGGAGCAGGCGACAGTAACGAAGGACACCGGGAAACTCCTGCTGATGGAAGAGGAGTGGGCTGCTCGGCGAAACTCCGGGAAGGCAGTCTCCTCCAGTCGCGGTGGCAACGACAAGCACCGCGGCAGGGCTTCTTCGGAGAAGAAGCAAATCGACTCCAACGCCTGTAGGTGTTGCGGGAAGATGGGCCATTGGGCACGGGAGTGCCCAAATCGCAAGAAGGAAAAGAAGGCTCAGGCTCACCTGGCGAAAGCCGATGATGAGGATGAGGCCACTATCCTTATGGCGACATTCTGTGCACTGCACGACGTCGAGGCCATGGAGAGGGAAGAGGCGACAACGGTGGAAGGATCTAGCAAGGCCCTGAAGACCGTCAACCTCGACGAACCACGCGCCCAAGTCCATCTTGGGCATGTGGGCGTCGACCAGGAGCAGCGGTGGTATCTGGACTCTGGTGCCAGTAACCACATGACGGGCTCTAAGGACTCCTTCTCCGAGCTCGACGGTGATGTTACCGGTACGGTGAAGTTTGGTGATGGCTCAAGGGTGGCTATCCAAGGGCACGGCACCATCATCTTCAGATGTCAGAACGGGGAGCACCGCGCGCTAACAGATGTATACTACATCCCGCAGCTACGTTCCAGCATCATCAGCATTGGTCAGCTGGATGAGCGCGGTAGCGAGGTTCTGATCAAAGATGGCGTTTTGAGGATCAGAGACCGGGAGCAGCGACTTCTCGCCAAGGTGAAGAGGTCCCTGAACCGGTTGTACCTGCTCGACCTGAAGGTAGAGCAGCCGGTTTGCCTGGCGGCAAGGCACTCCAGGGAACCGTGGATGTGGCATGCCCGGTTCGAACATCTCAGCTTCGACGCGCTTGGTCGGCTGGGGAAGATGGTCCGAGGGCTACCCCACATCAAACACGGAGGCGAGCTGTGTGACAGCTGCCTGGCCGAGAAGCAGAGGAGGCTACCTTTCCTAAAGGCAGCCAAGTATCGCGCGAAGGAAGCTCTCGAGCTAGTTCACGGCGACCTCTGCGGGCCGATCACGCCTGCTACATGCGGTGGTCGGTGGTACTTCCTCCTACTCGTGGACGATTGCAGTCGCTACATGTGGCTGCAACTCCTGACGAGCAAGGACGAAGCGGCAGTGGCGATCAAGAAGTTCAAGACGCGCGCGGAGGCTGAGAGCGGCAAGAAGCTCCGTGTACTGAGGACTGATCGGGGTGGCGAATTCACTTCGGTGGAGTTTGCTACATACTGCACGGATCAAGGTGTGGGGCAACATCACACCACGCCGTACTCGTGAAAGCTCTAGTTTGGTTTTGGTTAATTGATGAAACCCTAAGTGCTAACCTAGTTTATCAAGATGATTATGAGTTAGGTAGCACTACTCCAAGTGATGAAGCAATGACGAAGATCATGACAATGGTGATAGCATGGTGATGATCAAATGCTTGAACTTGGAAAAGAAGAAAGAGAAAAACAAAAGGCTCAAGGCAAAGGTATAAAATGTAGGAGCCATTTTGTTTTTAGTGATCAAGACACTTAGTGAGTGTGATCATATTTATGATAGATAGCCGTACTATTAAGAGGAGTGTAACTCGTATCGAAATGCGGTTATCAAAGTGCCACTAGATGCTCTAACTCATTGCATATGCATTTAGGATCTAGTGGAGTGCTAACACCCTTGAAAATATTTGTGAAAATATGCTAACACATGTGCACAAGGTGTTTACAGGGTTGAGATGGGTTTGGGTCCCTCTCTCGGGATTCGGCGCTTTTGGAAAAATGAAATGTCTATTTTCTATTGCGCCGGATGCAAAATTCTTGGTGGTTGGCACATTTGAGCAAGGGTGAAGAAGTTAGAGTTGAAATGGAGTTGGTCGAAATGATGCTGGCGTCGGTCTACTGACCAGACGCTGGGTCACTCAGCGACCGGACGTTGAAAGGCTGCGTCCAGTCGAGCTGTCAGACGGCACAGTGGGTA